TTACTTCAACCACGGACGATTTAAGATTCGATCATTTGTAATTTGTATCTCACAATTACAACTCCTTGTGATTCACAAATCACCAAAACTTGAATGCACGGATTCTATTATTTAATTTGTTAGAATATTAATTCAATTAAATAATAGATATTGCCATAAATATACATTGATTATATATATTAAAAGTGTTTATGTCCAAAGTTAATTGAACTTAGGACATAACACTTACATCAATAACATTCTAGCTGCCTTTCTTGGAGCATTACCAATATAAAAAATGGGAATGCTTCTTACGATGGCCTATCCAATTGATGTCGTTTAGTATGTTGTGTTGTACAATACCAAACAAGATTATAGAAAGAAAGACAAAAAAATTTAGAATATTGTCCACTGTACAATTTATAAGCTCCAGTGTATTATTTAGAACACCCGTTATACGGACCAAAGGTAAACTCGTTTAAACAGTTTATAGCACTCTCTTGACATGCTCTTACAACACACTAAATCGAATGGACTAAAGTGGCTAGAGACCATATCCAGATGAATTTGATGGCTTTACCCACGGTTTTTGATATCATAAATTTTAAACCGGTGGGTGAAAAGGCACAATACTGGAAAAAGGACTCATTGTTTTCATTGGAAAAAGCCCATTTTTATGGATTCCTGTGTTTGCTGAGGGTTAAGTGATTTTTTTATTATTTTCATGTTGATCAGTAGTACACACCTCACGTGCCACCAAATGACTCTTGTACCCTCACCCTCTCAATCCTAATTGTCGTGTGACGGAAGGGTTATATTGTAATTTTAAGTGAGTGGTTAGTTGATGGTAGAAAATAGGAATCGACCTTAGAAATGAAAATGAAACCATCAAATGTTGTACTGAAAACAAAGATTCAGGGGGCTATCAATCTCTATAAATACCTAACTTAATCAACCTTAAAGACTCAACCTACATCTTTCTCTCTCTAATTAACTATACACAAACCAAACCACACTGCAATGGCCAAAAATGTTGCTGAAATAACCAGTTTGGCTTCCCTCGATCAAAGACTAGCCATTGCCAAGCGTTGTTCTCATGGTATGTAACTCTCTTCGTTTTTTTTTTTACGTACAGTACTGAACAGTATAATTAACGTATTTATACGTTTGTGCAGAAGGTGTGGTGGCGGGAGCCAAAGCAGCTGTCGTGGCTTCCATTGCAACTGCAATTCCTACTGTACGTGAATTGAATTTTTAATTATAGCCTCTTGCATAGTTGCATACTTGCATGTTTGATTTTCAACTTATTATGGGACACTTTTTTTTGCAGGTGGCAAGTGCAAGAATGATGCCTTGGGCTAGAGCCAATCTCAATCCCACTGCTCAAGCCCTAATCATCTCCACAGTGGCTGGAATGGCGTATTTTATTGTGGCTGACAAGACTGTTCTGGCTACGGCACGTCGGAATTCCTTCAAGCAAGCTTCTCCCGGTGACAACTTTATCGAACCGTGATTTCTATTAATTTTGTCTTAAGGAATCAATTATGTAATATATATTATATATAATATAAATAAATTGCCTTTTCTTCCATTATTTTTACCGCAAAATTGCATAATTTCTTATTTATATCCACTGTACAAAAATGTTAGGATTAGGGTTATGGTTCGTTTGATAGGCAAAGATGAAAAAGAATTTCAATTTCATGTTAGTCGGAAAAAAAATTCACAAAACACATAAGAATTCGTTTTCCATAAAAACAAAGAAAAATCAAATTAAAGTGGTTGGTTGGAATTCGATTTCATTTTTACGTTGTAATCAAACGATCAAAATAAAATTCGTTTTTGGATGTGACATTTTTCATGAAATTTCATGCTATCAAACGGACTCGTAAAGTTAATTACTGTCGAACTCGACCCGTTCACGGTATTAGCCTATGGCATTTGGAATTTTTACCCAACTTCGTTTAAAGTGGCCGCCCAACTCAGTCCGTATTTGGCAGGCCATGGGGCCAATCCATTAATTGTTTCTCTCCGATCTAGACTGATGAGGCCGGGGAATTGAATTGCGAGCTGTTTGGTCGGTGGTTATGGACAGTTTAAAAAAATGTACAATTATTCCCGTGGCAGTACTGAGGCAATAGTGGCTGGGTATTCAGTCTGAAATACGAAGGGACTGGTGAAAAATGAAAATAACTGCATTCGTGTTATCTGCTTTGGTACTAGGAAAATCAACTTAGACATTTCTACAGGCTTGAAGAGAGAGCCCTTTCTGCATTCTAAATCTGTCATTCAGGCACTGTTTATTTCACCGAAAGAAAGAAAGAAAGAAAGGATGACCCCCCCACCCCCAAATTTTCTTAGATTAATAATGATTTTCTAGAATTGTTATTGCTTATCGAGTTATTCCATTAGTTTATTCGTGTAATTGAGCATCAATTTAGTGACTTTAGTATACTTGAGAAAGGGCTTAAGAAATATTTTCTCTCGCATCTTTTGTTGACATTGNATATTTTCTCTCGCATCTTTTGTTGACATTGTTTGTGGTTCATAGTTGAGAAGTGTTGGAGACGCATATGCATCCATCTCGCAGTGTTGGAGATGCATATGCATCCATCTCGAGCTTGACACTTTTGTTGAACATTTTTAGAAGTCATCACTTCACATGATATGATAGCCTAGGCTAAGCCCCCCGTCGTGCTTATCTTTCCATTTTTATCGCTTTTCAGATCGCTGCACAGTACATGGAAGAAGTTGCATACGTTGACTCTAAAATATCAACTGCAAATTGTTGACAAAAAAACCCTATAGCCATATTTTTTTTTTAAATATTTGAATTACCGAAAATGCCATACTACAAATAGAATGAATGTAATGTTAAATGGCACATAAGTCATTTCACATTTTGTAGAATGAATGAATGCAACAATTGTCGCTGGTATTTCGTGGTCAACATATTCAGCTTCTCCGAATGCACTGTATAATGGTCTGAAAAGTGATAAATAGCCAAATAGGGGAAGAAAAGCGCTAAATTAGTTCATAAAACACGTTAATTTAATAAATTTAGAAAAAATTACTTCGAGTGAGTATTGTGCGATAAAGATAAATATTTGAATGATACTTTAATATTGTTTTACTTGTCACATCAAGACTAAAAGCTTTATTCAAGATTGCATGTAGGGTCGCTTTTGAAAATATAGTCCTTATTTGAATCACATTTTATTAAAAAATATTTTTAATTATATATTTTTCAATAATATAATTTTATACGTAAATAAGAAAAATTCTTATTTTTTAATCACACATTTAGCGAAAGTCACTAATTAAAATATACATTTTTTCATTAGAAATGGGGCTCAAGGGCTTAATTGAGAAAAAGAGGTGTGGCAGGATAAGGGGGTGCAGGGTTTTGAAGAGACTCGACACTGAGTCCGAGCAAAAGGTCTACGCGAAGGATATAAAATATTTTCATTAAAAATTAAACCAGTACCTCCATTTGGACATAACAAGTCCAATCAAGAATCTTTATTTCTCTTTTCTTTAAATCTTCTTTTTTTGAAATGAAGCCGTGTTTGGACCACTTTATTTTCTCATTGAAATGAACCATCTTATTTTCTCATTAAAAGAAAAAATATGATCGTTATTCATTATATCAATATTTAAATTTAAATTTTCTATCTCTTATATAGGTCCTAATAATAACTATATTTTTTATTTTCATTTTACAAAAAATGTGGCTCAAACAAGGCCTAAGTGTCCGTTTGATCCACGTCCTTTTTAAAATTATTCTTTCAAAATTCATTTTCAATCACACATTTTTCAATAAAATAATATTACACGTAAATTCAAGATTTTTCCTTTTTTTAACCACATATTTTCTATCACATCACATCATAAAATACATTATTTTCTAAAAAATGTGCATCTAATAATATTACACTCAAATTCAAAATTTTTTCTTTTTTTTTAATCACATATTTGTCATCACATCACATCATAAAATGCATTTTTTCCTAAAAAATGTACATCAAACACCCTTATTTGATTTCTCTAATTTACTTTTCTCGTACTTATTTTTAATTATACATTCATATAATAAAATATTTTATATGTAAATTCAAATTTTTCTCACTTTTTAACCACACATTCTTCGAAAAATACTGTTCCAAATTATGTTTTTAAAATTTCAAGTCTACCAAACAAAGATTTAGGGCCCGTTTGATAGGCAAATATGGAAATGAATTCCAATTCTATGTTGATTGGAAAATAAAAATTCACAAAATCCAAATGAATTCGTTTTCCATGAAAATAAAGAAAGTGCAGCTTAAAGTGGTGGTACGTTAGAATTCGATTTCCACTTTCACGTTGTAATCAAACTGCCAAAATAAAATTAATTTTCCTCCAATGTGACATTTTTCATGAAAAATTTGGCAATCAAACAGGGTGAGGGTCTAAGAGATCTAGTGCTCATTTGGTAAAATTAAAATTCAATTAAAATTGAAATATAGTCATTATTGGATTTCATTCGTTTAATAAAAGTCAATAATAACGACTATTTTTTTAATTTTAATCTCTATCGAACACTTCCCTAATAATCTACGCTGTATTTTCATGATAAATTGAAGAGAAGAAAAAGAAAATCCCTGAGATACTCTGCCGTGAGCCGTCCTCTCCAATTTCTATGATTATTTGTACGCAGACGCTTAGATATATACCCTACACGTAGACCCTAAAGCTTGACCAAACCAAGAGTTGTTTTCTTCTTCATTTTTCTCCTGCATCTTCAGCATCATTTATTTCCTTCTCTCTCAAAATCAAATGATGGCGGATAAAGAAAGCCCCAAAAAGCCAGTTGTTAATAACAGCAATATCAATTCTAAGAAAAAGAAGAAAAAGAAGAGAGGCGGTGCCAAGAGGAAAATGACCCTTGAACAGACTGTGGCATACAAATCAGTCAGTGAATGGGTTTTTTTGGACCGGTCTAATGATAATATCAATAATTCAATGGGTCTTTTTGATTCAGTTTTGGATGATTTTGGGGTTCAACGGTACCAGCCAAAGGAAAAGCTTGTCTTTGAATTTCACTGTCACACGACATGCAGTGATGGATTCTTGTCTCCTTCCAAGCTTGTAGAGAGAGCTCATCAAAATGGGGTGACCTTTTCTTTCTTCTTCATATTTTTTTTGAGGTTTTATGTTTTGTTTATAGTGATGGAAGATGGGTTTTTCTTTTAATTGGTTTTGGTATACAGTATTCATTTGCATGTGCTATTTCTTTCTTTCATTTTTTTTTTTCGTTCTGTTCATACTCAATTGATGTTTTACTTATAAATGGAAGGATTTGATGATATTTAGTGTTAAGGATCTGATATTTTTCCCATTGATGTTGAATTTCATCCTGATTGAATTATGTTCTGATTGTCTAAGTTCCCCTTTATGCTTCTTCTTTGGGATAAGTTGGGTAGGTGATTGAATTGTGAGGAATTTATCCCTTCTAAGTTGCTTTAATTTATTGCCCTGCTGAAATACTGCTAAAATTTAATGTCTTTTTTGTTCAAGGCAAAGTTTTTACAATCCTAGGTGTGATTATATATAAGCTCTTCAACCTTTGGAGTCAGTACAGTACGAAGTTCAGAAGTCCGTAGACAATCAGTGATTTGTTTTGGAATTAAGGTTTAAAGCCTCTGCTCTCACACATTAGTCAAAACCAGAGCGTTCTGATGTCGTCTATTAATTGTCATCACGTCTATTAATTGTCATCACGTGTGGTACGGAATAATGTAGGTGATAATTAGACAAATGTGTTATATGAATTGGCTATAAAATTTTAGAATTACCGAGAAAGATCCTTTTTGTAGGTATATGACACTTCTTGGGCTTTTTTGTTTTGGCTCAATTTTTCGTTGTGAAGGGGAAGGAGACGTAGTAAGGTTATAAGATTAATTTCATTTTTTTTCCGTACCCATACGCCATCTTTTCAACTTCATCATCAAAGTTCATCTCGAATGTCATCTCTGCAGCTCTTCTACCCCAACCATACATTGTAAAGCATTCCGGTATTTTTTTTTTCAGTTCTTATTGATCATTTATTCTAAATGTACAAATATTGCAAGAAGAAAACTGTTAAAAACTTATCAACTGTTTAGGCCTATCAAATGGTCCTACTGGCAACTAAATGCAAAGGTACTCCCAGAAAGGCTAGAAGAATGGAAATAAAAGGAGGTCAAATGTGTTTTAGGTTATGTAAGGAAATACTATTCTCATACTAGCCAGGTTGGATGTCCTTTTCTGAAATGCGATACTACGACTTTCCAACAATATGTACTTGTTGGTGTTCTTTAGGCAGCTTTTTTTTTTTTTTGTGTGCGCGCTAGTCTCCAAAAAGAGGTTTACCCTTCTCTCTCTCTCTCTCTCTCTGAGAGGATGGGTGGTGGGGAGGAGTTTGAAATAGAGGTGGTTCTGTAGTATTAAGGTCGCCTTTCACGTTGAATAATGACTTCTTAGGGTTCTTATTGCAACCTTGAGGAACAATCAAAGAAACCAATAAGAAAATTGTAAAATAACTACAGCTCGTTCACTTATATTGAAAGATCTGAGGAGGAACTTCGACAAAATCTATGAAAAAGTATGCAGTGAGTTAAAGAACATACCATCTCTAGGATATATAAATTATAATTTAGTCTTGTGTCTGGCAAAAATTCTGAGAGAAGATGGTCTTTAAGCCCCTGTTTGGTAGCAATTAAAATTAAGATTTTAATCCAAGTCAAAGTCAACAATTATTCTAACCACACATTTTAAGGGATCCACAACTTTTCAACCACACATTTCATCAACTTCTATCAAAATCTGATTTTAATCCCTACCAAACAGGGGCTAATTCTGTTTCGTTACTGTATGACGTATAAATTTTATTTTAATTTTGCGCCTGACAAATTCTGAGAGATGATGGTCTTTAATTCTGTTTATTTTCTTGTGATTATTTGATATATCACGTGTTGTTGGGGATATATCCTTTATGTTTAATGCTGTATATTCTGGTAGTATGATTATGCTGATAATCTATCCTCCAACATTGTTTGTTCTTCTTTCACTTCTTGGTTTCTATAAATAAAGGTATAATTCTAATTATGTGTACGCATACGTTTCTTATGAATCATCTTCTATACAGGATAATTAGGAGGGCTATTAATTTTTCTGTCCACAACAGGTCAAAGTACTTGCTTTAACGGATCATGATACGATGTCTGGCATCCCCGAGGCCCTGGAAGCAGCACGCAGGTTTGGCATCAAGATTATTCCCGGTGTTGAAATTAGTACAATGTTCACCGCAAGGTTATTGTTTTGCTGTGTATTCATTTGCTTACTTTTTACTTAGATGTAGTGATTTTCTAGAATGTTGCAATTAATTTCTTGTACTACTTTGTCATGATTTTGTAAAATGACTTGCAGAGGGGAGTCAGGACCAAAAGAACCTGTTCACATTCTCGCATATTACAGCAGCTGCGGGCCAAAAAAAGCGGAGGCATTCGACAAGTTCTTAGGTAATATTAGAGATGGACGCTTCATCCGTGCAAAAAACATGATCTCAAAACTGAACAAGCTCAAGATGCCTCTTAAATGGGAAAATGTAATCAAGATTGCAGGGAAGGGTGTTGCTCCAGGGAGGCTTCATCTTGCTCGTGCTATGCTTGAAGCTGGCCATGTAGAAAATCTAAAACAGGCTTTTACTCAATATCTTTATGATGGTGGACCTGCATATTCTATGTAATATTTTTTACACTGTCAGCTTGGCTTTTTCGAAAGCTGGTTTTATGTTTTCAAATCGTTCAGTTTAATAGTTTTGCACGTTCTTTGGTGCAGGGGAAGTGAACCAGTGTCCGAGGAAGCAGTTGAATTGATATGTGAAACGGGAGGTATCGCAGTGCTGGCACATCCATGGGCACTGAAGAATCCTGCCACCATCATCAGAAGACTGAAGGAAGCAGGCCTACATGGGATAGAGGCTTACAGAAGTGATGGAAAACTAGAAGGTATATACATTGTATATCTAATTCTTCTACCTCGTGTAATTTCACAAAGCGTTTATGATTTCTTCGAAAGTTTAACAGAATCTAATATTGAAGTTATCAGAGAAAAGCTGTACTAGTAAATAGTAGATTAAGCAGCAGCATCACCAGAGGATTAATTGACTTCCAACTAGAGATTCTAGAATTATAATCCTCCCGCAGTTTTCAATTGACACCCTCTGCAGATATGGCTGCATGGGTTGTATTCTTGATTAGCTGTTTTACATGAGTGTTTAAAAGTTGATTTCTGATTAGATTGTAGGGTACCCTGTTGATATTTTGATTCACCCTTCTTTCAATATCAGTATACAGTGATATAGCCGATGCACAAAATCTTTTGAAACTTGGAGGGTCGGATTTCCATGGGAGGAGTGGTCAGCACGAGTCCGAGGTGGGAAGTGTGAGTCTTCCAGTGATGGTGGTGCACGAGTTCCTTAAGGTGGCTCGACCAATCTGGTGCAATGCCATCAAAGAAATCCTAGAAACTTATGTCAAAGACCCCTCTGATTCAAATTTGCAACTTATCACAAGATTTGGACGGATGAAGGTTTCAAGGGGTATTTCACCTTTCACGTGCACCACCGAGTTCATAAAGCAATGTTTGTCAATGTGGTTGTCGAAGGAAGAAAGAGAGAGCACAGAGTTTGAGGCCATCAAATTGGAGCTTTGCTATATTTCAATCAGTCGAACAGAGTTGGAGGCTCGTGCAGCAAGTAAATAGTTTCTTCTGAGTTTCTTCTTTGTTCATGTTCCTCCCATACTTCAAAGGTGCAAGAAGATTAAATTTATTGATACATTTGACGGCAACTCTCGATTCATAGAGTTTTCAGTGTAACGTGTTACCTTTTCGACATTTTCACATAGGTATTATTTTTTTCCGCGAAAATTTGCTCATTATCATGTAATCCTTCTTCAGATTTAGAAAATCACCCAGATTTTGAAGTGTTGATGCATAAATAACATTAGTTTGTTTACTTATTTATATTATAAATTTAAAACTAACTTATTTACAGGGGAACTTTAATATGCTGCTTTTTTGATGCTCAAAACTTATTTCTTTAGTAGAAAGTAGCTTTTAATCTAGTGTGCAATTTTATGATTTAGTTGTTATAAATCGAGCAATCCTTTGTCACGGTACCACTCGCTATTGAAGTAGGTGAGATGAATATACATATTTTAATGGGAAAAGAATCATATATGCCTAAAAAAAATAAAAAATAAATCATTTTATGTCATATCCTATTTTTTTATAGCAGTAACTAAAATGAGAAGTAAAAATCAATTGTATGAATGTAGTTGGCAAAGAAAGTATTTTCCAACTTTTGAAAATATACTTAATTTTCCTTTTTTTTAAGGAAAATATTTTTTTTTGGGGCAGTAGGTTTTTGTTTTCCTCAAAACTAGGAAACTTTTTTTTTGAGGAGATGTTTTCCATGTCAATCAAACACACCCTAAAAATTGAATATTTATTATAAATGTCGTATGCGATGTAATTTCCACTATTTTAATACTTGAAGCATAAAAGTGTAATGTGTAATTTATGGTAATGTTGTTTGGTTCACAATTTGTCTCGAATTCATTTAAGCCCCCGTTTGGTTCAATTAAAAAATTGATATATGAAATTTTTCTATAGTAAATCAATTCTCATTTTCAACCACACATTCTTCAATAAAATAATATTTTCAATCACATCAATAATTTTTTTTTTCTTTTTCAACCACACATTTCCCATCATATCACTATTCAAAATCAATTCTTCCCCCAAAAATCCCTCCCAAACAAGCTCTTAATATAAACACGTTTCATTATCAAATAATAAAAGGTGAAAATAAATTCCTAAAATATTTGTGTAGTTTTAGGCCCTGTTTGGGAGGGAATTAGATTTTTCTACAGTAAATCAATTCTCATTTTCAACCACACATTCTTCAATAAAATAATATTTTCCATCACATCAATAATTTTTTTTTTCTTTTTCAACCACACATTTCCCATCATATTACTATTCAAAATCAATTTTTCCCCAAAAAATCTCTTCCAAACAAGCTCTTAATCGATAATTTATTTTATCCACAACTTTTAACTTTTAATCATACGTTCCATAAATTTTTATTATAATCTACAAAAAAAAAAAAAATTGATTTCTCTCGTTTAGGTTTGCATCCAACGGCTATGATTTAAGTTTTGTCTTTCTACGTTATTTGCTTATGTACCGAGACGTTTAGCTTATCTGATAGCAGGTAATTCGGCGAACTGAGGTCGAATCTTTGATCGAAAAAATGAGCTTGTCCCTGCTGCAAAGCTACTCCTCGGCTGAGGAAGAAGGAGGAGGAAACGGAGAACTAGGAGACCCACAATATAATAACTCCTCGGACGATGAAGAGAACTGCGCCGTTTTAAAGAACCCTTCGTACAAACCCTTGTTCGATCCAAATCCATCCTCCTCTTCTTCCCTCCCATCTGCTTTTGATGCATTCTCCGAAGTAAATCCCACAAATTATGAGCTAGTTGTGTTAATTATTATTATTATTATTATTTTTATTTATTTATTTATTTTTTTAATTTTAAATTTTGGTGGGGATTTGCTTAATTTTATTGGTTTTTTGTGGGGGGCCTTTTTTTTTTTGCAGGTTGTAGGGCCGCCGAGGTTTCTGAACAATCATGTCCAGGAAGAAGTGGCGAAAGAGGAGAACGATGGGCGGCGTTGGCGGCATGGTGGCCGGAGAAACCGTAGAGATAAAAAAGATTTACCTGCCGGTAATTTCCTTTTGTTTTTCAAATTTGTATAAAATTTTAATCTTTTTTAGTGGCTTATGCGTGCTTAAAACTTAATGCCCATCTTTCAATAGAATACTCAAGTGTTTCCATTGATCAGTAGATCAAATCCTAAGAGAATAAGAAAACAATGTCTTTCTGTCTAGAACTGCTTAGGCAAATGATTTGAATGTTGGTGAAAATTTTGGGGTTATAGTAGGAAGCAAGTAAAAAAGTTTGGGCAGTCCATTAACCAAAAAATAGAAAAGCTTGGATATTTTTAGGTGACTTTTGGATGGATAGTGAAGACTGGAGAGGAAGGTTAAAATTTGGTTATAAATTAATTGACTAGATCGAATAGAGTGAATGGCAAAGAGATTGGATTGGGAATGGTTTAAAATGAACTTGGGATCAAGAACTCGAAAAGCTGGGTTGCCATGTTGATAATGATACTAAGGAGGGAAAGGGAAAAAAATGTAGTTAAACAATTATTTTTTAGATTAGATCTGAGTCTTTACTGTTGTGTATTGAGCTTCTAATGTATTGTGATCGGATAATACTTTCTTTATCTCAGTCATAATTAAGAGAAACCATGACTTGTTTCTTTACGGTTGCTTTATCTTTTACTTAACAACGAAGATGTTAGGTGCAAATCTGGGACATATCCGAGTCACAGAGCTATATAAGAAGTTCACCGATCACTACATTGGATAAATCATGCCAAATAGTTATTAGCGGATCATATGCTCCTCTCTAGAGATTTAGTCAGTCAGGTTTCACCCGAGTGATGGGATGGCACCCAATAGAGAAGGGGACCCTTAATTCCCTCATTTCTTGCCCTATTCGTCCCAGATCGGAAACTGAAATGACCCCCCAATTTTTTTCCTTGGCAACGAGACTGCTCAGTTTGCTGTATATATCCGATGCCAAGGAGTAAGAAAACGAGAAATACAGATGAAACAAATTTGTAAATGCTCCTTTTTTTTTGTGTTTGTGTGTGTGTGTGTGTGTGTGAGAGAGAGAGAGAGAGAGAGAGAGAGAGAGAGAGAGAG